TTTTCTATGTCCGTTCGAGGACGAACGGTTGTTTTAGAGGTGGAGAATGTGATGACCCAAAAGGTCATCTTACGTTTTAGAACTCGAATCTGCACTCTTAAGCATTAAAAATCTTATTTTACCCTCCTCGATTTGCGTGCGCAGTCCGGGCAGGTTTCCGGAAAGTTTTTATGTTGAAAACTAATGAAAATAAGAATTTTTGCCTTAAAAGTTGATTTTAGTTGACTTAGGTCAATATTTTTGGCAAACGGGCCTGTATCCGTGCTTTGACGGTCTCGGTAAGTCCGTATCGAATTATGGGACCTGAGCGTATGCCCGGAATCGAATTCGGAGGTCCCTAGCTTGAGTTATGAATTTTTGATGAAAATTAAAAGTTTGGAAATTATTTGTTTTTAAGAATTGATTGATATTTGGCATTGTTAGTATCGGGTACGTATTTTGGTCCCGAAACCCGGTACAGGTTCATTACGATATTTAAGATATGTCTGTGAAATTTGGTGAGAAACGGAGTTGATTTGACGTGATTCGGACGTCTAGTTGAGAAGTTATGGATTTTAAAGTGTTCTTGAGAATTTCATTTGAATTGGTGCTAAATTTAGAGTTCTAGGTGTTATTTTGGCGATTTGATCGCGTGAGCAAACTCGTATGATATTTTTAGACTTGTGTGCATGTTTGGTTTGGAGCCCCGAGGGCTCGGGTGAGGCTGAGAATCCTTCTTCGTGAACACGAAGGCCTCACGAACGCGAAGTGATGGGGGATTTACCCTTCGCGAACGCGACCTGCTCATCGCGAACGCGAAGCACTTGGGGACCTGGGGGAGGGTTGGTCGTTCTTTCATCGCGAACGCGAGTAACGTCTCGCGAACGCGAAGGCCAGGGGAGCGTAACCATCGGAACGCGAAGGCTTGGCAGCTAGTACCCTTCGCGAACGCGACAGTGGCCTCGCGAACGCGATGCACACTGTCACCCAATGCATAAAACAGAATCAAACACGGGTTTAAGCCATTTTTTCAACATTTTTCAAGAACCAAACGGGTAAAGGCGATTTTCAAGAGTCATTTTCTTCCCCAAAGTGTCGGTAAGTGATTCTAAATCATTTTCTTTCAATTACCCATTACATTCCTTGAATTATCAACCAAAAATCTAGAGTTTTTATGGTAGAATTAGGGGTTAGGGTAGAAAATAGGAATTTCGGGAATTTGGGGATTTAGACCTCAATTTGAGGTCGGATTCCAAAACTAATTACATATTCGGGCTCGGGGGTGAATGGGTAAAAGAATTTTGGTCCGAATCTCGGGTTTTGACCAAGCGGGCCCGGGGTCAATTTTTCTACTTTTTGGAGAAAAATTTGGGAAATTTAATTTATGCAATATAATTGATTCATTTAGCAATATTTGATATTAATGAGTCATTTTTGAATAGATACGAGTGGTTTAGAGGTGAATTCCAAAGGAAACGCTGTGATTAAGAATTAAGTGGCCTTCGGAGCGAGGTAAGTGTTGTGTCTAGCTTTGGCTTGAGGGAATAGTGTTACGGCCAAACACACTCACGCAAGTATACGTGGTCGTCAAGTAATAAAGTAGTGAATANTAGGGAGGTCAGGGGTCTAACAAGAGGCCTCGTCATTCCGGTGAGTTCAGCGGTGCCTCACCTAGAGGCAGGAGTACTTTTGGTAGAGGCCATCCTCCCAGGCCGTTTCATTCAGTGCTTCAGGCATCTCACGGTGCCTCAGGTGGTCGTGGCCCTTAGATGAATTATTCCGACCAACTAGCCTACAGTGCACCACCAACTCCTATTAGTGCACCTCCACTCCAGAGTCATCAGGGTGGTTATTCAGGTCGACAGGGTCAGGTTCAGGGTCAGCAGTCACAGCAGCCGAAGTTATGTTATACTTGTAGTGATTCGAGGCACATTGCTAGATTTTACCCTCGGGCAACGGGCAACTCACAGTATCAGAGTTCTCGTGCCATGGTTCCGGCACCAGTTGCTGCACCACCTGCTCAGCCGGCCAGAGGCAGGGGTCAGACAGCCAGAGGCAGAGGCCAGACAGTTAGAGGTGGAGGTCAGGCCATTAGAGGTGGAGACCAGCCAGCTAGAAGTCATCCCAGGGACGTAGTTCAGGGTGGTGGGGCCCAGCCCCGGTGTTATGTTTTCCCAGCCAGGCCTGAGGCTGAATCATCTGACATTGTTATCACAGGTACTATTTCAGTTTGCAGTAAAGATGCTTCAGTTCTATTTGATCCGGGATCTACTTACTCCTATGTGTCTTCCTATTTTGCTTATTACTTGGTTGTGCCCCGGAATCTTTGAGTGCTCCTGTGTATGTGTCCACACCAGTGGGAGATGTTATTGTTGTAGATCGTGTTTATCGTACATGCGTAGTCAACATGGTTGATTTTGATGTCATACTGGGCATGGATTGGCTGTCACCTTATCATGCTATATTAGATTGTCACGCCAAGGCAGTGACCTTAGCCTTGCAGGGGTTACCTTGATTAGAGTGGAGAGGAAATCTTGGTCATTCTGCCAGCAGGGTTATCTCTTATGTGAAGGCTCGGCATATGGTCGAGAAGGGGTGTCTAGCTTATTTGGCTTATGTCCGCGATTGTAGCGCAAAGGTTCCTTCCATAGATTCGGTGCTGGTTGTTCGTGAGTTTCTAGAGGTGTTTCCTGCAGACCTACCGGGGATGCCACTCGACAGGGATATTGATTTCTGCATTAATTTGGATCCGGGCACTCAGCCCATTTCCATTCCGCCATATCGCATAGCCCCGCCAGAGTTGAAAGAATTGAAAGAGCAGTTGCAAGATTTGCTTGATAAGGGCTTTATTAGACCTAGTGTCTCGCCCTGGGGTGCACCTGTGTTGTTTGTGAAGAAGAAAGATAGATCGATGAGGATGTGTATAGATTATCGACAGTTGAACAAAGTCACCATCAAGAATAAATATCCATTGCCGAGGATTGATGATTTATTTGATCAGCTTCAGGGTGCCAAGATGTTTTCACAGATTGATTTGAGATCTGGCTACCATTAGTTGAGGATTAGGGCATCCGATGTTCCTAAGACAGCTTTTCGGACTCGGTATGGGCATTATGAGTTTCTAGTAATGTCATTTGGGTTGACAAATGCCCCATCAACATTCATGGATTTGATGAACCGAGTGTTCAAACCCTACCTGAATTCCTTTGTGATTGTGTTTATTGATGATATCTTGATCTACTCCCACAGTCAAGAGGAGCATGAGCAGCACCTTCGGATCATTCTTCAGACTCTGAAAGACAGCCAGTTATATGATAAGTTCTCAAAATGCAAGTTTTGGTTGAGTTCAGTTGCTTTCTTAGGTCACGTTGTATCAGCAGAGGGTATTCGGGTGGATCCTAAGAAGATTGAGGCAGTTCAGGACTGGCCTAGACCCACATCAGCTACAGAGATCCGTAGTTTCCTGGGTTTGGCAGGCTATTACCGTCGATTTGTAGAGGGGTTTTCATCTATAGCAGCCCCGTTGACCATATTGACCCAGAAGGGTGCCCCGTTCAGGTTGTCAGATGAGTGTGAAGCGAGCTTTCAGAAGCTCAAGACAGCTTTGACTACGGCACCGGTATTGGTGTTACCCACAGGTTCAGGATCTTATATAGTATATTGTGATGCATCTCGTATTGGTTTGGGTGCGGTATTGATGCAGGGTGGCAAGGTTATTGCATATGTGTCACGGCAGCTGAAGGTTCACGAGAAGAATTACACTGTTCATGATCTAGAGTTAGCAGCCATTGTTCACGCGCTGAAGATTTGGAGGCACTATCTTTACGGCGTGCCATGTGAGGTATTCACTGATTATCGGAGCTTGCAGTATTTGTTCAGGCAAAAGGAACTCAATTTGAGGCAGAGGAGGTGGCTGGAGCTATTGAAAGACTATGATATCACTATATTGTATCATC